CCCCAAAACCCCAAAACCCCAAAACCCCTATTATTTATGATAAGATATTAAGTCGAATTATTAAATCAAGATTAAGTTTAAATCAGTTTAATAATTATGTTATCTAGACTATTAATCAGTCCTTCATGGAATTCAATGCAGCTCTGCTAGTCGACATCAGGAAGTCTTTGATGACTTTAACTTTCTCAATTACTTCTAAAGGAATAATAGCTAACATACTTTTTGTAACCCATAATGAATGCCTCATGCTTTCTACAAATCTTCCCCAAAGGAAAAAGAAAAGAAGAACCAGCACTAATAAATAAAAAGCAAAAACAGTTGCCATTTCAGTATCCCTATTTTTGAATTGAACATTAATAGAGTCATTTAGCTTTGTAATTAATGCTCCATAAGCTTTTGAAAAATAGATTTCATTTAGTCTTTCATCCTAGATGATCCTATCACCATTGATTATTGACTTTAGGTATGCAGAAGATCTGCTTGATTTGAAAAATGAATCTCTGAGTTCTCTCATATCATCCCAAAAAGCTAGATTGGCTGAATATAATCCTTTGTCTAGCACACCACCAAGATAATTGCTACATTCACTTCTTTCATCATCATTAAAGTAGTTATCAATGTTATCGCAGACACTCTTATATATAAGCTTGTCGAAGAATGTGTTAAAGTCTGAGTCGTGCTTATTTACATTATCTGAATGTACCTAGAGGAATTTCTCAAGTTCTTGATTGTAATTATCTATGTAATTTACAATAAAATCAGTAGACTTCTAGTTAAGTACCTAGGCAGTACCGTTTGTAGATAAGATCTCTATAATGATCTAATAGAGTAGGTAATTTGAGAAATTTCGATTAGTAATCGTTGCTGCTTCTTTTATCATATCCAGAGATCTTGTAAGAAAACTATCTGATTAAAAGTATTGGTAGAGGAAATAACTCTCAAGGACAGTGATTACAATGAAGAACTTGAACAACAGCATTATATAATTAGTTGAATACTTCTTTAGCTTCTTATTTTTTCTGCTAAATCTATTTCTATGGGCTTCTTGTCTCTATTATTAATCTTAATTCTTTTATACTTCATCTGATGAGGGAGTCTTTCCATCCTTCCCATCTTTCTTTTCGTCTTCACCATCCTTTCCTTCATCATCAAAATCAAATCCTCCACCGTCACCATGATTAGCGCTTCCCCCTTTGTCATCATTATGGAAAGTAGTGAAAAAATCTTTGCAACGTTTAAGTTACTCTTTGACATCATTTTGATCAATTTATAGGAATAGACTCAATAATTTATCCTTATCTTAGTGTACTTTTGTTACGACTGGCATAATGATAAACATAGAGGCGATCAAACATCCACTAGCAACGATCAATAGTATCATCAATATTTCTCTATTATTATCTGAAAGGATATGTGTATCATTAAGAATTCCTTCTGTAGAGTTTTAGACTGCTGAAAGTATATTATTCATTGAATTTCTTAGTATAAACCAAATTCCTAAATCACTATTGAGATCAATTGATGAGACAGTTCTTGGTAACGTAAATTATGACAAGTTGTAGTTTTTAATTCTATAAGCATTTATTGCTAACTAGTTGATTGTTGACCAAACATCAACAACTTAGGTATTTCCAAGGTCTTCATGAACATTATAATAGAGTAAAATCTCTTTTTTATTGATTTCATCAGAATTTTCAATGCTAAAGTCAAAGTCAACCCAAGATAGGTTAGCCTACGCTCCTTATAATATTTCAGCATTTTTGTTCAAGTCAGTCTTCATCTTCTCCAGATAATCTTAGTCCTTTCCGTATCTATATCGATTCACAGTTCCATTATTGATAAGACATGCAAATCGAGTTGCTGTGTTTATCGTTGTAATTGACTTCATCCTGTCTTGAGAATCTTATATATTATGAAAGTTTTCCTTTAAGTTTTCGTATTTTTCCTTTGAAAAGATATAGCTTGCAATAGTCATAGAAAGCAATACCACTAAAACAAATCTAGCTGAATACTTAAGATTTTGGATGCTTTAAGGAGAATAATTTTCATACACAGCATTTCTTAAAACTCTAAGATGCCTCATCAAAATCTTGCTGTCAGATGTAACAGACCCAGTATCACTTTCAAGATTCATTTTAACGGAACTAGCTTCATTCATTTAGGCATCATTTGCTGCAGCAGCAGCATCTGCAGTCCCATCTTTCTTTTCATTTTATTGATCAGAATTTCTTGTTTTTGAGTCTCTTTTTTATCTAGACTTATTTGTGTCTTAGAGATTTCTAAGAATATCATTTTACCAATCACCTAAAAATGAATGCTTTTGAATTTCTTTAGGCTTGTTCGTTGAGTTCATATCTCTCTTTCCTGGTCCTGAAGACATTGGATTAAGAGTACTCTAATTCAAATTTTGCTTGAAAAAATCATTCACAAAATCTCTTCTCGGGTCTTCTTTGACTTTTCTACTTTTACTTCCAGTCACTAAATCATCCCCGAGATGGTCTGTGCTGTTATCTTTTTTCCCATATTTCTTTTTCTTTTTGAGCTTTTTGTTAGTCTTATTAGTTTTGCTGTCTTCTTCATCAAGGTCATCGTCTAATCCAGATTTGTCATCATTATTAATTCTACCATCATTATTGTTAAATCCGGGAGAATGAGAAAAGTTCGGCACTTAATTTTTATTGTTATTGATGTTGGTTTAATTCACTCCACTTCCAAACATATTTTAGAAGGGAGCCTTAGGCTAATTGTTAGTTGAAATGTCATCCTCTGTCCCAGTAAAAGCTCCACTATTCCTAAAAGCACCTTAAGCTTAAAATGATTAATTAGTTCCTCCTCTTATTCCAAGGGATGAATTTTCTGTTGCATTTTAAATCATATTAACAGTGCTCTAGTTATTTTGATTTTGCTTACTATTCTTAGAGGTCTCAGAGTTCATCTCTGAAATTTGTTGTTCTAAGAGTTCTATATTTTTCTTCATCCTCTCGAGTTCAGCATTTTCATATTCAGTTGGTGTCATGATATTTCCATAAGTTCTTACCTTCTTTTATCTGTCGAGTAGAATTTTAAGTACATCTATATCATGCTGAAGCCTCTTATAATTTAGATTTTTATCCAGAGTTTTTGCATTTGCTAGTAACTCCTTATACTTCTGGAATACATATTTGTCATTTAAGGCACTCATTCCTGATAATCCGAATTTGTGGAGCATTGTCTCCTCATCTTTACCATTACCACCCATATTTTGTGATGAATTCTCTGATAGTCTACGGCCAATCTGATTCTTCTTCTTTTTTGAATAGAAAATTTTGAATACTCTTAGTCTTAACTCACCATCTGAATGCTCTCTGTGCTATAAATCTGTTTTAAGAATCTTATCAAAGTCAGCATGAGAATAGTTAACGTGGTTAAGCAGGTTTGTTTTATATTTCTCTGGCTATCCCTTATGTTCTGCATTTTTGAACATGTTTGATATAATTTTTAATGAATCAGAGCTTTTTAAACCAACAAAGGTTTACTACTAATTAACATTTAAGAGACCATTGATGTGCTTCATATTTTTACTACTTGAGGATGTCTGTGTCTATGAATTAGTTCCTGTTCCTGTTCCAGTACCAGAGTTAATATCTTCAGATGTTCCGTCTCCCATTTTCATACTTGTACCAGTTGTAGCACCCCCTCTACTGGTTGAACTTGAGAAATTTTTGGGTACCATGAATCTAAGATCTCTTAAGCCATTCCATGCTTCAAAATTTGTAATCGACTCATTAGCACTTGTTTTAAATCTGTATACCTCACATAATTCAGGAATAATCACTTGAATAGGAATATCATGATCTTTAAAGAATGAAATTGGCAGTTTAAGAAGGGATGTAATTCCCTCAGATATTGAATCGATCTTTCCATTTTCATCAGCTAGTATGTACTCGTAATCTCTGCTTGACCTTTTGATCATCCCAATGTATTAAATATCGTTTCTCAAAGATGGAACAGTCTTTACGACTAAATGAATAGGAAAAATTATTCCTGTTCTGTACATAGCAAACGATTCAAGGCAGTTATTGATGATTCTTTCCTTGCCTGTTCTAAAATACTTTTCTAGAAACGTACTATGCTTTATGGCAATAACAGGAGGCATCAAGATATTTACATCATGTCCTTGAACTTCAAACATACTGTAGCCAAAAAGTTTGAAAATTCCTTGATTAGTTTTAATAATTTTTCCCTGCTACTCCTTGCTACCATTCATAATAATAACTGTAGTATCTTCTGCAAACATAAGGTCAAACTAATTTTCGTAATCATCAAGAGATTTAAGTCTTTTCATTTAATGATACATATTCTTGTATTCTTCCCCTTACTCCATATCATTCTTAATTTGAGATAAGTAATTGCCATAGATGTAGAGAGCATTAGGATAGTTAGGATTGATTTTAATTAGTTGATTCCATATTTCATTTACTCTTTTAGTTTAATTAATAATGTTTAGTCCTAACTTATTGATGACATTCAAATCAATCATGTTAGAGTCAAGGTGAGACCAGAATTCAATATGATCTGAGGCTGACTACTCAATTTGTTTTTCTAATCTGTTAAATAAACTCTCAAATGTTATCACAATCGTCACATCTAACTCGGAATATGCTTAAAGAGACATGCTTCCGCCTATAATATGGTTCCCAGTTTTTGTTCCAGATCTGAACCTCTTTACAAGATGTTCCTCAATTATATTTTTCGTTTTGTAAATACTGAATGACTATTGTAGAGTAGTTGAACATTTGGCTGCTAGGTTTAGTTCAATTAGTGACATATGAACATTTCCCATTTGAAAGAATAAAAATGAGGCATATGAAGTATGCATCAATGAGGTAAGGGTATTAGGATGAGATTTTTAATAATCCAAAAAAACTGAGTTTAAGAGATGTTAATGAACTATTCTATCATGAGAAGGGAATTAATCTCTTTTACTTGTTTGATCATTTAATGGTAGATATAATGAGTCATTTAACTTCAAGGGGCACGAGGCTGATTAGCATTCCTCTCTGTGGAGGTATAAAAATCCTAAAAATTATACTTCAATAGCCTTGTTTTACTCCTATTCCAAAAGCACATTCTAAAAATGATTAGCAAATTAATCTAATTCTAAATCACTCTTGATTTTTTCTTGATTTTTAAGCAAGAATATTTTTCTTAATCGATTTTACCTCAAGTAAGATGCACAAGGGTATAAGAAAATAAATCCGGCTAAAATCACAATAATCTATCCCCGATATTCAATACCTTCAAGAGCCTTGACTAATATTGCATTAATCGTTACCCAGAAGTAGCCTATACAGCAAGCTCCATAGAGTGTGGAAATCTATTCGTAATAATAAGGTAGGAATTTAAGATAATCCTTGATAAAATGGGCACTCATAAAGAAATGAAGCGAAAGCACAAGCCAATGATAATTCTAGGTTGAGGTATAATGACTCACTACAGTCAATGTTATCCTGTATATAGTTAAATACATTTCATGATTGGTATCTAATCTAGTCAAGGCATCTGTATGATAGGGCCTTGACTCAGTGAATAGCAATGAAATTACAATTGCAATGACTAGAAATAGCATCAATCCAAAAGCGTATAGACCACATAAGAAGGCATGCTTCCCGGTCCAACAAATCATTTCACGATCAATACTGTGATAACCATCGCTTTCACACTCGTATATTGATATATAAAAATCAGTAATTGGAATAACAGCAATCCAAAATATAATTGTCGAATATAATTACAGAGCTTTAATCGGCCAGATCATGTAATATTTCTAATTTCTTAAGAAAAAATCGACTAGCAAAAGCTTAAGAATATAAGCTATAGTTGTACCAAAACATTAATTAAGGAAAAACCAATAAGCTTCAACATTTCCAGATTTTACAACAGCAGGATATATTCTAATCACATCAAAAATATTCGTAACAGCATCATATAAGGCCCCTCTGAACGGAAACTTCATGATTGGGGAAACTATCAAATCGTAAATCTAGATGAACATCGCTAATATAAGAAAAGATGCCATAAGCTTATCGGTGTTTCGTTCCTTTGTTATTTGATAGAAGATCTTGAAGAGCCTGATCTTGATTGAGTCCTTTTTCTTTTTGAGCTGATCATTGTCTTTGTTCTGTCTTCTCTTCCTTGAACCTGTCTAGCCAGGTCTCTCTGAAGTGAATTCCTCGTTAAGGTTATCGAAATGGTTCTAGTGGAGCATTTCTCTTATTTTATTATTATAAATTTTATTTAAAATTCCCACCTTAAATATCTCACATTTTGACACACGGGGTTTTGGGGTTTTGGGGTTTTGGGG